CCTTCCTTCCTTCCTTCCTTCCTTCCTTCCTTCCTTCCTTCTTTATTGTTACTACTTTTTAGCTCATTGCTGACCATTCCAAACCTAGAGTTTGAATCTTATCATTTGAAATGCACACCTTTGCAATGTCTTCATTTTCAGGTCTCTGGTCACTTCATTGCCATCTATTTGGCTAGGCCTACAAAGTCCCTCTAGGGTCTATGTATGCAACAAAAATAAGTGTACCAGAGCACATATCAGCCAACGCACAGGATTGGAATAAGAGAGTTGATCCTATGATCAATATATGGGCTACAAAGGCAACTTCTAGTTCTAGTCAAATTTTCTAAACAACTATACATACCAGTGACCACAATATCCGAACGTTTGGTAAGATGAATATTGAAATGTTTATGTGAAATAGCATGGTTTTGAATATTATCTTAAAATTTTAAAAGAAACAAAGAAAACCATATTGAGTCAAGCCATGACATATGCAGGCAATTTGCCACCTTTGCCTGGATTTTTCATCCATATTTGTTCAATCAATAAAAACCATAGAGTTCTAGGATAAATAAGGAAATAATAGAACATTCTCACTCTTGTGTGCCATCCACAGTTAGGAACTTCACATAATATTTTAGGAAGGACCTCACTAATAGCAACAAATCTTAGAGACTTACCAGATAAACCTTATCTTTGAATTTTAGAAAACAGAGAAAAAGGAGAAGTGAAAAGTGATAAAATAACCTAAGGAGGTGTTGTTAAATGTATTTTTACCTGTTTTATGATAGTAATTTATTACCATCTTTTCCCTTTATTCAAATTTCCTGCAAATCTTTTGCTTGTATTAATCTCGAAAGGGAAATGGTGGATAAAGATAATGGATCGATAGGAAGTTAAATGGCTGGGAAAATAAAATGCAAATTTTGTTACATGATCCCTATTGAATAATCAGGGTCCACAGGCCCTTCCCTGGGTTATTTCTTATATTTTGTCATGTTTAAGATTGACTTTCTTTTATAGATCTCTCCCGCTTTACTTTTGGGCAGATTCACCTTTGCCTCTTCTATTTCAATTATTTTTTATACCACCACATATTTCACTGCATTCAGAGGTATTTACTTACATTATAAACATGTTTCTCTCCATTAGTAGAATCTTGAGGCCAAAAATAATATCTTTAATCATCCTTTCCAAAGCCCATAAACTTAAAAATGATTTTCAAGTATAGCATTGTTATGATTTAAATATGAAGTATCCCTCCCAAAGTTTGAGTGGTAGACAATGCAAGAATTTCCTGAGCTAAAATGATTGAGTTAAAACAACAATAATCTAATCAATGTATTAATCCAGGTAGATGTATTAACTGGGCAGAATCTGTAGGCAGGTAGGGTGTGGGTAGAGGAGGTAGGTTATGGGGCATGACTTTGAGATTTATATTTTGTCCCTGGTGAGCAAACCTTCTCTCTGCTTCTTGGTTGTCATGTCCTAAACTGCTTTCCTCTGTAACACCTTTTGCCATGATATTATGCCTCATATATAAACTTTTCTTACTCTAACTATTCTTTTGGGGTCTTTTGGTCACAGTGATAAAAAAAAAAACTGACTAATACAAGTAGAGAAAAC